TTTCAGTAAATAAAAACTGATTCATTTGATCAGAATTTGATTGCAGAAGGTTAGAGGGTGTGAACTGAGTTAAAATCGTGATTTTCAGCGCACTCAAAGAGGAACAATACGTGTTTTGCACACGAAACACACGTGTTCAACGGATGCAGGGAAGGCCATTTCTTTTGTTAATTTTCTTTGTTGAATCTGGCGTTAACAATAAAATGTTTCCATTGAGGCGAAAGGATTAAACGCCGCTATCTTTTTCCACGCTTGAGTGCATCTGAATGGGTGTTTTTCAAGCGGAAAATTACGTATTACAGCTCTTATACAGCATTTTAACCTACAAAATAATACTTTTTGCAGAGGAAATTGAATACTGAACAAAACTGTAGTTTCAGAATGTAAAAATTCGCCGTATTAAGGAAATCGATGTCGAATTTTTTGGTTGTGCCAAGCAAAAACTTTCCGATCTCCAACGTAGGTGGCGCTATATATATTTCATCGACAGTGCATACTTCTCCAAGATACCTTCACTAAATCAAAGCCAGAATTTAAGAAAGGTCGCCCCTAGCGGAAGTTCCTCTGGGGGCGACAATAACGGTCGCCCCCAACCGTACAAGCATTAATATATACCGCTATGGGCGACAATATCGGTCGCCCCCAGCGGTATACCGCTAGGGGCGACAATAATGGTCGCCCCCAGCAGTACGCGCGTTAAGATATACCGCTATGGGCGACAATATCGGTCGCCCCCAGCGGTATATCGCTAGGGGCGACAATAATGGTCGCCCCCAGTAGTACGCGCGTTAAGATATACCGCTATGGGCGACAATATCGGTCGCCCCCAGCGGTATATCGCTAGGGGCGACAATAATGGTCGCCCCCAGCGGTACGCGCGTTAATATATACCGCTAGGGGCGACAAGAAAGGTCGCCCCTAGCGGAATTTCCTCTGGGGGCGACAATAACGGTCGCCCCCAGCCGTACAAGCGTTAATATAAACCGCTAGGGGCGACAATAATGGTCGCCCCCAGCGGTACGCGCGTACCGCTAGAGGCGACAAAGGGCGCCCCCAGCGGTACAAGCGTTATACCGCTAGGGGCGACAATAGTGGTCGCCCCCAGCGGGCCGCGGTACGCGCGTTAATATATACAGCGCCACCATCGATACAAACGGGTAAAACGTTAGTTTGCTTCGAAATCTAAATATTCATTTATTCAAATTGGTGCTGAAAAGGCAAAGCCCTGGGACTGCAAAAGCTGAATGAAATGGCGTCTCCAGCTAATACCACACACCACGTGCTTCTTACGCCGGGTACTAGGCTTGTTTACAGGCGTTTTGCCTATCTCCTTGCGAAGCGCACGTGCATAGACTAAGCTAACAAAATAAGAACACCGTTTCGACGGATGCAAGGGAGTCTATTTTCTTTGTTAATTTTCTTTGTTGAATCTGGCGTTAACAATAAAATGTTTCCATTGAGGCGAAAGGATTAAACGCCGCTATCTTTTTCCACGCTTGAGTGCATCTGAATGGGTGTTTTTCAAGCGGAAAATTACGTATTACAGCTCTTATACAGCATTTTAACCTACAAAATAATACTTTTTGCAGAGGAAATTGAATACTGAACAAAACTGTAGTTTCAGAATGTAAAAATTCGCCGTATTAAGGAAATCGATGTCGAATTTTTTGGTTGTGCCAAGCAAAAACTTTCCGATCTCCAACGTAGGTGGCGCTATATATATTTCATCGACAGTGCAGTCACTGAGCCAAACAAGTTACAAACAAATTAGTTGAGGAGGGACACTGTCTTTTTTATGGAGGGGGAGGGGGGGGGGGGGGAAGGGGGAAGGGGTTAAACACCAGATATAATACAGACATCAATTCATAAATTATTTGTTTCTGAAGCAACCATGACCCCATATTGATCAAGAGTCTCACTAGTTATTCAGGATCTACAATATTCTGAATTGGTAATGAGGCCGCGTTTTTTCAAACACCTTTTTTTAATGCACGTGTAGTATAATTTGCACGAATACTGCAGTTTGCTTCATAAATAGGCTACATAATTGAATGCACTTAATTTCTATTTTATATATATCCCCTCATACCCCCCCCCCCCCTCCGTCCAAACAAAATACAGTTTTGTAACCCCCCCCCCCCCCCCTCCCACTTATCAACTCCGCCATACCGTGATCACGGGTCGCCGGTCCCAAGCCAACCCACATGTTTCCCTACGCGCGCACAAAACTGATAAAATAGCCATCAATAATAATAGTGTTACATTAATTCTCAAACAATATTTCTGTAATGCCAATAGGTCTGTCACGGTACTCTCAATACGTCTGTACCCTTCCCCCCTTCCCCCTAAAGAACCCGCCAACCCCGCCCCTTCCCGAGGTAAAAGTATGCTGTGGCAATTGCCAGTTTGATTTTCTCTGACACACGTGTGAATGAAAAATGTTTAGCGCCACCTACGTTGGAAAGTGGAAAGTTTTTGCTTGGCACAACCAAAAAATTCGACATCGATTTTCTTAATACGGCGAATTTTTGCATTTTGAAACTACAGTTTTGTTCAGAATGCAATTTCCTCTGCAAAAAGTATCGTTCTGTAGGTTAAAATGCTGTATAAGAGCTGTATTTCGTGATTTTCCGCTTGAAAAACACCCATTCAGATGCACTCAAGCGTGGAAAAAGATAGCGGCGTTTAATCCTTTCGCCTCAATGGAAACATTTTATTGTTAACGCCAGATTCAACAAAGGAAATTAACAAAGAAAATAGACTCCTTTGCATCCGTCGAACCTTGCGTACTTTTGTAATAGCCTATTACGCTACACGTGCGTCACATAGAGGTGCTAGAACTGAACGGCTCGTTAACAAGACTAGCGGATTAGTGCGGCGTGCATGCATGCACGCCGCTAGACGCCAATAGGTGTTTTTCAAAACTCGGCCTCATTAATACATTAGAATAGGTTAGGTCGTGATTAGTGTACTTTGAGTCAATAAGTGGTCATGTTCAGCTTGAGGACAATCAAATCATCTAAATTTAGGACAAACTTAGAGAGTTTATTATTTTGGTTTCGAAATGAAAAGCTTCCTAAAGATTCTGAAGCTAGCTGAAATGTGACTGAACAGACTGGAACGAAGCCGAGATTTGAAAAATAGCCCAGGTGCCAAATCTTATTTCACCAATGGGTAATGAATATTCATATCAGACTTATGTACATGTATGCATTTGCGCGGTCACTTATTACAGACTCTAATAAAAAGCCCAAAATGCCCAGACAAAAAGGGGAAACAAAACCAAAAAAACAAACTGTCCACATAAATCATTGTGGTGTCACTCTTTGCTGTTTTTATTCCAATCATGTTCCAATCAAATACAATATACAATTTGCGTATGAATTAAAGCACTGTTTAAAACAATCCAAGTAAAAATCAATTAAAGAAAAGATGATTCAATTAACTACAAGATGAAAGGACATCATGCTTGTACCAAATTATGTAGCGAGACAAATTCTGCAAAAGGGTGTGCAGAGAAACATTCAGACAGAATATTGCAACCTGACGCCATTTTTTCCTTTACGATATCATCTCAATGGAGGTCAGTCATTGCAAGAATGATAAGATATGAATCTAGGACTGAGAAACAGTTCCAATTTTGTTAGGAAATACTAAAAAACTAATTGTCTTGACTCTCCATAGACTTTCTACACAACCACTGAAGTGGCGTCAGGTTGCAACATTCTTTCCAAACATTCAACTGTTTTTTTGGTTTTTTTGCCTTTCAGTGAAAAATACAATTAATATCGATATTTAAGATCCTTCCTATTACCAAGTTTTTACTCTACCTACTTCCAATCTTGGTGGGATTTCGTTTGCCAAGTGAAGTGCGTTCTGTCACTGGCATACAAGTCTAGGTTCAATAATTGTACAAGTTTATGAGACACTACATGTATTTGTTATTAAGTGCAAGTAACACAACATATAAAATATGCACTGCATGATCTGTGTATGTCAGTTTAAATTTAGTACAAATTTGGCAAAGGCAAATCAATTACATACAATGTAACGCAATTAGCAATATCAGATAATAAACTGTCTTAAACAGTGTGGTATTAAAGTCAACAGTAGCTAATGATACCAAATTGAATGATAAAATTTCAAACAGTTTTTCATTCCCTCTTCAACTTTATTTTGCTGGATAGCAACATCAAAAAAATGTCTTAATGTGTTGCCTCGATCGGTTCCTACATCACCACAATATCTCCATTAAGTTGCCCGCTCTACGTTACCAGTAATATGTCAGGTGAATTTCAGACAAGTACCCCATGAACAGAGATCAACCCGTCCCATTTGGTGGGATGTTTTCATTTCAAACATATCTTTCTGCTTTCTAAACCTACTTGCCTGATAAATCTTTTCTCTGTATTTTCTAAATTAACTTTGCTACCAATACCTAGAACACTGTGTAAATAAATGAAAATAATTTTGTATATCAATCAGTAAAACTCAGGTAAAATCACAAAAGTTTTTTCCACAAAAGTCAAAGGCAATTATTGAAATATTTACATTGCATTAAATTAAGTACATGCCTTAAACTTTAATTGAAGAACAAAACTATTTTTTCTTCATAAATGCTATGCATATTATCTTTCTACAAATACATCACTCTTTTTAGTTTTCATGTACATGTACAATAATAACCAACTCTAAAATTACTACAAATTCCAAGTAACAGTCAAAAAGTTAAAATTTCTGCAAGTAAACTTTTTAAAACTTAACCTTACTGTTACAAAAAGGCACTTTCAAAACGCCATGCTGTTCTCATTGCAAAGAGAAGACCATAATAACAAAAACACTCAGATTACACAGTACTGTGACAAACACTCTGACCATATCAGCCAATCAGACGTGACCGTAGTAAAGAAACTGACATCTGACCTTACTTCACAACGAGCACCTAAAATATCTACATATGCAACAATCAAATCTTACTGCAAAAAGCTGTATTGCTTTCCTTTTTTTCAGTTCAAAATTTGTTCCACAAAAGGCACTAACCTGCATTGCCAATTATTCAAGCACTATTCACTTACTCTCAGCTTTTACATCCGAGTATAATATTGTAATAATGAAAACTGTTAACACAAAAACTGCCAAGACATAATTAATTAGCCGTTTTGCAAAACATTTTGTTCTTGTGCTTCAATCTGTGTACTAGGAATCCCCGGTTGGTCCAATCAAAAAAGAAATTCAGCAAGATTCCAAGTTTATTCAGCCACTTCCCAAAATCTGAAACTCTTCTTTTTTTCTATTTGAAGAGGCTGATCGGAATGGCCCATAAAATCTTGGTTATCTTTTAAAAAGAATTTCTAAACTTCACCGAAAGATACTTAAGCACTGAAAGCCAACTTGAAAACTTTTACAGCCTCAATCTTAGTGAATGACAAAGCAGTGATAATACGAAGGTAGTGTCTTCCTATAATGTTGTTCTAGGCGGCTCAAATTCCTCCGTGCTGACAGGCCAGGGGTTCTCATAGCTGTTAATTTCTGCAACAGTAGACCTGAGGGACATACAAAACAAGTCAATCAGTTACATGGCTAAATTGACTAATTGCCTTAGGCCCAAAGTGGTTCCTGTTTGTATTGTTTTTTTTCAGGGGTAGAAGATATTTCCAGATATGGACCAACTTTCTTGAGAAAAGTTTTAGATGGGTTTCGAAGGTACATTTTGCTTATCCAAGATGTTCTTTTGTAAATTGATTAAGAAATAAAATGTTTCATAAGCTAAATTTGTCTTTAAAACAGACCTTACAACTCCAAGAACTTGATAAATTGGAAAATATTTTTCAAAGTATTATTTCGCACTTGGCATAAATGATAAGCTTTACAATGTTAGTACATTGCATAGTGAAATGCTATTTTTTTGTGAGAGTGGGGAAAAAGGGGAAAGAATGCTTGAAGACAAAAACTGACCCCTGATTTTTTTGGCGATGTTTTTGAAGCTTTTTCTACACTACAGAGGAACTTAGCAAATGAAAACAGTTAGCCATTATTGACAGAAATGTTACTCCGTGTCAGATGATTCAAATTGGGAAAATCGAGGGTCATAATTAAAGACAGATTTTTTTACAAATCTTCGGGTGCACCATGAAGTGATGTATCATCTATGGATTTTGTGCTCACGATACGTCGCTTCCTGGTGCGACCGACGAAATGTTACACATCGGACTAAAGAAGGGGAACTTGGGGGAGGCAGGAGTAGGTCGAATGAAGTGAAAGTGGGGGAAATGACGTCACTGGTTCAGTAGCTGGGTGAGTGGTGAGTCCAACACAGACAGGGTACCAACAGAGTGGAGGGGTGCAATATGACTCATGATGTGACAGAAACACCATCAGCTAAACTAGCTGACACAATTATGAAGTAGTAAATAATAGTTTGAGGTGACATATCGTGATATTTACCAGCCATGAATAAGCCTCTGTACAGATGACGTCAATATTTATGTGCTTTTCTATGGGCAAAGAACCCGCAATCCCCACCAGGCTCCCATAGAAAAGCGCACAGGTAAACAAAGTGTGACGTCATTGGTACACTCAGATGCTTATTGAAAACATTGGAGACTGAGTTGCTGTACCTTGGCCTCCAAAAGAATCTTTTCAAACTAGAATGAAATGTAACAGCAATATTCCTTACCAGAAAAAAAACATCTGGCCAAGAAAAGCTAGTGAAAGCTTCCTTTAAAAAAAAGTAATTTGGTTTATCCATTTTGCAAACCCCTTTTTTTTCCTGTTCCCAAAACACCAACTCTAATTGTTGTCACAGCATACCAGACCACACAGATGTTAATGGTGCTGTGACATACACAGAATGATGTTGTGTATAGAGAGGATGTTTTTTTAATATCTCCAACTACATGTTGCACAGCCCATGACAAGTTTCCACAACTTCAGAATGTTACGATGTCTGATTTGTATTGGTGGTAAAGTGAGGGTGCAAAGGTTCATCAACTAGCATGGGTTTGCTAGTTAAAGCAAACCAAATTCAGTTATTTTGATGCCAGTAAAAAAGGGATATTTTTTAAATTGGTGATTCCAAATTTAGATGTTGGTACGCATGTTTAATTCTGTTTGCAAAAATAACAGCGTTGCTGTTGAAACACCTCAGCGGGAGTCCAGTTACCATCCGGAAACCATTAACCTATAACTCACCACTGTGACCTTGACCTTTGAAACCCAAAACCAATCCCAACTTGCTTGTACCCAAGGGCAACCCCCTACCAAAGTTAGAGACCAAAATCTCATTTCTAACTCAAGTTATCATCTGGAAACCATTAACCTTTAACTCACCACATTGACCTTGACCTTTGAACTTTTGACTCCACAAATTAAGAGAATTTTTTGTGGACAAACCTGACTATTAATTAAGAGTGTTCCCTTGTTGTAAGAGGCATGCATGGTGAAGAAAGTACGGAAAGTTGGTTTGAACTCAGTGTCCCCTTGTAATTATTTTAAAACTTCCCCCTTAGTGCTATGTACACTGCTGCTTTGTAATAGCAGTAAAATGAATTGAATAAAATGGTTGCCAGCACCAAGCATCTCAAATCAGGGAATTTAACTTCAAGTGTGCAGGAACGGAATGGGGGATAAATAAAAAGGGATACTAAAAAAGGGAAAAAAAGAGGTAAAAGTGTGTGTTGTTAATCAGCAACCTTTTGAGTGGTGTCTTCTTGTCATGGTTTGCCAAGCCGTTCATCAACATCACCCAATTGGGTTCGTCATCGTCCTCATACCTGCTACCGTTGCGCGGCATAAACCCATAGTTGTTGTTTTCAGGGCTGCCACGCTCACGCTTGTGGATGGAATGGTTGAGGGCGGTCTCATGTTCCAGCTCGTCCGCGCCATGCATGCGCGTGGCCTCTTCTGCATCGTAGTTATAACGATGGTGCTTGCTGTAAAATTAAAACAACAAGATTTGGTTATTTTTTACTGGAATACACAGGCAACAAAATAACTTGTCATGTTGTTTGGATTGTGTTCTTAGGCAAGACACTTTACCACCACTGCTCCTTCCCAATCAAGGAGTCAAACGGTAACTGTAAGAGCAGAGAGAGTTATTGTGTTAGCTGATAATACCAAAATGGCAGCATTGAGCTGTATACTCCCACGGAAGCTGAGATCTTAGGATAACCTTGTCTTAGGATAGCCAAGATCTTAGGATAACCTTGTCTTAGGATAGGCAAGATCTTAGGATAACCTTGTAAGCACCAATAACAGGGGTAGTAAAGACTTAAAACCTTTTGGCAGCAATCATTTCATTTGTTTATAGGAATAGCTCGGACAATTGTTTATTTTTTATAGAACAGCCCTTGTTATGTAGAATATTCATGATCAAAAGCATCCGCTGATTGGTCAATGTGCTTCCAATCAAAGGAAAGAAGTCGTCTAGGTACAGTATACCTTTGCACAAATCAGCTAAAAACTCAGATTTGGCCAGAAAATGTGATTAACTTCCCCCGATGGTTACACACAATGTTAGTGAGTTATTCAAAATTTCACTGGGATTAAAAAATAAAGGTGTTATGTTTGAATGAGCAATTCCGCAAATTTGGACGTACATGTCGGACACTTTAACGAGCTGTTGTTGAAAAGGGAATGTGATACATCACTAAACTGTAACATTTCATGAGTATAGAAAACAATTACAGACTAAACTAAGGTACCGCCACGTTATTGAACGACGTTGTACATCACGTGGTCGGATGTAACACAGAGAATGGTATTTTACGGAACTGCCCAAATGTCAAACACACTGGTAGTTAGTACAAATGTTAGTTTTATTAATAAGTGAAAAATAATCTCCAAACAAGTGGTAGTGCCAGTAGTACGGGTAACACTGTATGCTGGAACATATTTTTCAATCGTTGGATCTTTTATCAAATGTTTTACCACAATTTTGGAAGTATTGATATTGTTTCCACAATTGCAATCTTCAGTCTTTTCTTTCTAACGTTACCAGGCGTGCATATTGTTTAATCAATTGAAATCTTGTAAGGAAACCCAATGCATACAGCGATAGCAAAGTTTTATGAAAGCAAAGATTAAAAACAAACATGCTTGGCACTTGCCCGAGGGACTCAGAATCCACACGATGGAGGTACTTGTCACGTCTAGTCAAATCAAAACATTTACGAGGGGAAAAAAAGGGAAGAAAAATACAACGATCAAACTCAAAGAACATCAAAAGAAAAAGAAATGTTACTAGCAACAGCTGTTGATCACAGAATTGGCTTGCAAGTTTCTCCCTCAGACACACAACAAAATAGTGACTCTGCAACTAATGTTATTCATTTGCCACACTGCTTTAAAACCAAGGTTTAAAAAGCAGGGTGTTTTAACTTAAAATGCAAGTTTGTTGTTTGTTGTTTACCAAAATCTACAAAGGTATCAATTTGAATGACTCCATACGTCAATTCTATGACCAACAAAATAAACATTGTGTGCAATAGGAACGTAAGAAGCTTAAAATTACATAACACACTACGTGCAAACAAATTGAGCAACAAAATGAGGATGTACAGCATGCATCATTAACTTGCAAGGCAGTTAAATATACAGAGGCATGCGTGCAGTGGTGATTAAAAGAGACAAAATTAACAAACTTGCCAAGCAAATAAAACTACAACATTTTATTTTGTGTTATTTATTGTAATCTTTAACAAGGGTATTATATTTCAGCTTTCCAAAGCAGCCCTCAAATGATATATCACCACGATATGTTTTGCATCTCAAAATCTAGCCGAATACGGAGAAAACAAAAATTTCTTTGAAGGGACTGATTTGATTTGTATTACATTCAAGCAGTGTTAGCTAATGTTAGAACTAACTCTATTATTCATTACATTTGTGCATTATTTATGAATCAGTTGTCACGGCAACGAGACTAGAATTGTACTCACCTAGGCTTGCAGCTGTTGTAGACAACAGCAACCACCACGATGAGAAAGATAACTAGGAGAACACCGCCTACGATGATAGCGATCCAATACGGTTGGAGTTGAAGACTACCAAAGGCCCCAGAGGATCCAGTCTCCGCTACAAAACCAACAAAAAGGACATGGAATTGAGTGCACTGCAGTGAAGTTACTTGTGTGTTGTTACATATCTTGCATAAGAATCTTAGGATGGTTTTAGAGAGTCTGCAAATTGCACAATGAATTATAATGGCACTTATTGCAGTCGGTGTATATAAAGGGTGTGCATCAGGTACCATCATGTCACGAACCCGTGGTTTTTTCCAGTAGGGTTCCCGATTCACGTACTACTCACAAATGCACACCCCTAGTGTGAGTTGGTGTAAGCTATACAACGTACAAACAGAAAATTCAACAATTTCAGTTTACCAAGAAAAGAATAACAAACTGTTCGCAAAGGATTTAGAATGACTCAGGAGTCTCTCTCCCCCCTCCGCCCCCCCCCCCCCCCAGCCTCAGAGCCCCACCCCTAATTCTTCCCCATGCTACAGGCAGACTTACTTTCGCAGTTTTTGCCGCTGAATGTTCCCACACAGTTGCAGGTGTACGTAGTGACGGCATTGACACATGAAGCCCCATTCAGGCAGGGACTGCTCTTACAAGGATCATACACTGAAATACAAGATGACAAAAACACTGTCAGTTGATCAGTATGTGAAACTAAATCACAAAGGAAATATCCTCGTTTGATGAGCAATTTTCAACTGAATATAAACAGCTTGTAACGTCTTTGTGAGAGAGAAACGAATTTGAATGGAAAATGGAACTAGTTTCCAAATGTCTGTGAGTAACAGGTTTTTTTTTTCTCTCTGAGGGTGCAATTATGCAAGGAACCCACACATCCGAGGAACATTTGCAATGAATCTTTACCTTCACAGTTCTTTCCGGAGTAGTCTGGGTTGCACTGGCATGTGTACATGTTCTGTCCGTTCAGACAAGTGCCGCCATTACGACATGGGTTGCTCTTACATTCATTGATATCTATCGCAAACGAAGAAACCAAAAAAGTGTCATTTAAATGAAATGAGTGACGTAGACAAAGCTCTCTCCAAGAGCAGCAGCAGTTTTAAAATGTCAGTATCACGAAATAAGAGATTTGATATATTTCAGTTCATTGACTTATCTTTCATTAATTTTTTATCTCATTTCCGAAACCTTTTTTTAAGCCAAGAGGTGTATATACGCACATTACAAGTGTTGGTTCCAAAAATCTTTAAAAGGAGTCACCACTTCTAAAGTTGACCGTCTCTAAAAAACATTTTTCTCAAGATGGAAACATTTTGGACCAGGAAGCTAAATATATTCCACGAAAGAATTATGTTGTATTCAATGAGGAGTGTCAGACCTACCTTCATCACAGTTTGTTCCAGCAAGTCCATCTGGGCAGGTGCACATGTAGGAACCCTGGGTGTTACGGCAAACCTCGTTACTACCACATGGATTACTCAGGCACTCGTTGATGTCTGCATGCAATCAATCAATCAATTAACTTTCAAGAGAGAAAAGGTTCGGTGACATTCAGTTCAAGTCTGGAAATGGGATTTGCAATGTTGGATGGCACAACTTGGGAGAAGTTTGCAGATTGGTAGTGTGAAGTGACTGATTTTAAATCAGAAAGTGGTTTCACGTTTAGGTCAGTTTGCTCTGACTGTCAGTCATTTTGGGGAATACTGATGAACAAATTTAAAATAAGACTGGAATTTCAAGCAACTTTCTGGTAAATTTATACAAGTTGAAATACTTCATGATAAAGGAAAGTGAGTCTGATACAAAGCAGAACCTTTAAAGTCCACCCTTCCCCCCTTCCCCCCCCCCCCCCCCCCCCCCCCCGACATGTCCCATGATGCATTACGTACCATTTTGGCAGAAGACGCCTTCGAAGCCATCCTGACAGAGACAGATGTTGCTGCTGCCGCTGGTCACACATGTAGCCTGGTTCTCACAATTGTTGGTGACGCAAGACACTGATGAGATCAGAGAGGACGGAAATCAAGTTTGACACAAGATAGTACGGGTGGTTTGCCACAAAACCAGTGCACAGAACACAGAGTTCAAATCACAGAGTTCAGATGAGTCTTGAGTACTTACAATACTCGCAGTTCTGGCCCGTGTACTGCCCAGTGCAAGTACAGACGTAGGAGTCTGGTGTATCGGAGCACGCCGCGCCATTCTGACATGGAGTGTTGAGGAGACATTCATTGACTGATTGACAGAAGGGGCCGGAGTAGCCATCAGCGCAGGCACAGGACAGAGTCGTAGCACTGGTCTGACTGCAGGTACCACCGTTAATACACGGGGCATCTGCGCACAGATCAACTGTTGGGGTTTTACAATACAGACACAAAATTGAAATGGGTGGAAAAAATGGGTGAAAATATTGTACAAAACTGCAATTTGTGCAATTAATTTTCAGCCATTGAATGGAATGAGGAGTGGTAGATTTTAAATGGTATGGAGGGAAAGGGAAGGTTGGGATAGGGGCAACAGGGGTGCAGTAAAGGGGCAACAGGAGTGCAGCTGAGGAGTAACAGGAGTGCAGTTAAGGGGCAACAGGGATGCAACTAAGTGATATAATAAGGGGTGCAGCAGAGGGGCAACAGGGGTGAAGTTGTGGGTGGAAAGTAACAGAGGTTAGCTATGGGTCAAGGGGGGGGGAACTATCAGGAAACAGGGGTGCAATCGGGGAAACAGGGGTATAGCTAAGGGGCAACAGGGGTACTGCTTAGGGGCAACAGGGGTGCAACTGAGGGGCAACAGGGGTGCAGTTGTGGGGTGATAGGGAACTGCTAATGGGAGACAGAGGGGGACATGATGGGTGATGATGGGGCACACCATGAATACCTGGAGTCTGGCACCGGTCTCCCTCATGAGACACTGGGCATTGACACTGATAGGAGTTGGTCTGGAGATCGTTGGTGCAGGTGCCTTGGTTCAGGCAAGGACTGCTAGCACAAGGCACTGAGAGAGAAGTGGACAAACAGACATGCTAGAAAACATCAGAAACAACAAACCACATGCAACAAAGTTGACATGCACGGCACAGTCTTTCATCAAAGCCAACAGACATATTACTGGGTCTCTTGATATCTATTAGAAAAGGCAACGAGGTATAATTCCTGAGTTTCTTCACAGTATTGCAGAGATAAAAACAGGTCATGCCATTTTAGAAAGTCATGCAAAACAAGCAGTAAATGACACAATAATCACAGACTTCCCAAAACAATGACATTTAAATGAGAAGGTTATATTCAACTTGCCATGAGAAGAGGCAGAAAACAGTCTAGAAGTGACGGTTATATTCTCACTGGTTCCCACATGCTATTATCGCATGTTAAGAATCAATGCATACCAGGAAAGGGTCCCAACGCGACAAAGATGTTGCACATTTTCACTACTTTAATAGGGTGTACTTGGTGACAGAGGCTATATAACTTACCTTGGAATTGGCAGCGATCACCAAAGAATAGGTTTGTATTACACTGACACGTATAGCTTGTGGCATCATTATCAATGCAAGGCTGTCCATTGAAGCATGGACTACTGCCACATGGTCCTGCAAAGAAAAATTCCAAAAACTTTCAACTTTAAAATTTGTGCGGTGACGTGGGACACTTTTCTGTCTGGCTCAAAACTCAAGTCAGCAGGTTTGGTTAAGGAAAGTTTTTCGTGATTGGCAAATTTCTGTGCTATGGGGAGTCAGGTTGGTGAAGCTGTACTTTCCTAGCGCTCGCCTTCCACCGCTGCGACCTGGGTTCGATTCCTGCCTGGGCCAACTATGCTTACAGTCCCTACTTGATTCTGTAGGTTTTCCTCAGAATATTCTATTCTGGGGTTTTCCTCCCACATCTAAAACTGTAGTTTCTTCACATTGTCTTCTCTTTACTGGGAACCATGGGAGATCAGTGGATTCCACTGAATGGGCTACCCAGTTAAAATAAGAAGTAAACTGTAGCTCTATTGAACTGGACTAAGGATGGCTAGAAAACCTCAAAAAGAAGGGAACAAATATTCAATGATCAAGTTGAACTCACGGTCAGCGCACTGGAGACCACTGTAGGGTGAAACACACTGACAACTGTAGCCATTGGATGTGATTTGGCAGGTGCCTCCATTGTTGCATGGGTTACTGCTGCAGGCTGTTCCTATTGGTGGAAACAGATGAATACTACTAAGGCCTCATGAATATGCAGTAAAACCTTGTGAATATACATTACTGTGATTGTTAATTGCAAGCTTGTAGGCAAAAAAACTACTTAGTTTTTCCTGCACTTTTTATTCAAATATTTTCTGACCGCTAAGGACAACAAATCGTCTTTTCTGCTTGTGTCTAAACTAGCCTTGTTAATTCAGAATTTGAAAATTGGTACTTACTTGGGTTTTGACATCTAGCTCCCATGTAGTTGCTTAGACACAGACACGTATAGCTCAAATCATTGTTTGCAACACAAGTGCCCCCATTCATGCATGGGTTGGAGCCACAGATGGAAGCTGCAGAATGCAACAAAAACAATATCCAAAAGAAAATAATTATTTGCCTCATCAATAATTTCATATCTATTGACATTGTTTCTTATAATTATTTGACCAAGTATAATTAAAAGTTTGACAAATTCAAAACTTTGGGCAAGCACTGTATACTCACTTGAATCGGATTGACACTGCAGCCCAACGTAGGGAGTGACGCAAGCACACCGATATGTGTCGTCTGCCTGAGTTAGGCAGGTCCCTCCATTGATACATGGATTGGATCGGCAGGGGAACTGGGTACCAGCTGTGCAAGAGAGAATGAGAATTGCTTCATTATCAGTAGGGAACCAGTTAAGGCATGGCTACCACTCAAGGGTGTTACAATCCTCGCTATGTCATAAATCTTTCTCGTTTCTGCTCTCTCATGAACTTTGTTGTGAAGAGTGCAGAATGGCAAGTGGGGTAAAGTATACTGCTAAGGGACAAAGGCAGAATCATCTGCATAAAGTGGCCAATTATCGTAGCCATTTTATTTATCTATTAAGGGCAAAGATGCGCACAATTAGTATCTTTAAACAAATTACAGTAGGAAAACTTTGCCGTATACTTACTGTAGCAAGTGTCTTGGACATCCACGCTGAACCCTCGTTGCTGCTTTGTGCCGTCAGTAACAAACGTCATCCAGAATGAATTGCCAACAGTAGTAAACAAATCTGGTAAACTCTCGCCAGCAAACGTGCTAAAGGTACCCACACCTGAACATGAAAAGAACCAACTTTGGTCAACAGATCAACACAGTTCAAATCCCTACAAGACAACTGTCCTTTTTCTAGGCCAATATACAAGGTATCATTTTCATAAGAATTCATGGCTCTATTGGATTTGAATCCACAAAAAGAACATCAAATTTCAACACGGCTAGGGAACTTTTCCGTGCAAACTAAAATCTTAACCATAGCATATTCGCAATCTTACCCGAAGTTATCCCGTTGCCTACTCTGACCAGATCATACTCCATTTCCGTGGAGAAGTCAGTGAAGATGACCCTCATGGGATTCCCAGAAACTGTCTGGAAGCCCCAGGCACAGTTCTGACTAGGGTCATAGCTGGCGGGATAGTTGGGGGAATTCAGCGTCTGGTGACCACACTGAGTCAACTGGAAGTTCACATTGCAGCCAATATCTGGTAAAGCAAGGAAAATGAAATCAAACAATGAGCACAGAACGTCACAGGCTTGGAGCAATACTTGTTTCTGATTGGGATTCGTTATGGTAAAAAATCAGGAATGGAAAAGTTGAGATGCTCCTTACTTTAGCGAGGGAGTAACACTTTTCAGGAACAGCACAGGATTTTAAAGACGCTCAAATTTTGTTTCAAGATTTTGTTTGAATCTGCACAGTGAATATGTTTTAGTAGTGATGCTGTGGACTTGAGTTTGGGAAGGGAAGCAGTTCAAATCCAGCTGCTGACAATGTGTGGTGTCCTTAGGCAAGCCACTTTACGCCCATTTATCTCTTTCCACTCTGAAGCAGAAATGGGTACTGGCCTTAGCTGGGGAACCTGTGATGAAAAGGTATCCTACATGTACCTGAAGTGAGTAGAAACACTTGATCTCTATTGTTTTATGCTATGGATATCGGAATACTGTTGAGGAAACACCGACTTAATCAGCCACACTGTCTCAGGAGAGATGGGTTTTATATCATCTTGGTTTTTTTTTATCTTAAGTTCAAAGTTAGTGACTCACGGATTTCACAGTTAAGCCCAGCATAATCACCAGTACAATCACAGGTGTAGCTGTTGACTCCATCCACACAACGACCACCGTTCTGACATGGGTTGGATAGGCAGTCCAAAATATCTAAGCAGGAAAGTAAAATAGTTTCACATGTAAGATATAAAAATACAAGCAGCTCAATTTGAAATGAAACCATTACACTCAAGAGGTGAACATTCTGAGGTGTTTCCCTTAACACAAAGAAGAGCGTGTCAATGATCCACGTTTTGAAGAATTTTACAATTTTCAGAACCGTTCAGTTAAAACTGCATGTCAATCACCAAACAATGATTATCTTAACTGCTACAAGTTTGCACGCTTACCATTTGCGCAGGTTATTCCTGTGTAACCTGCTGGACAGTGGCATACAAATCTATTCAATTGGTTCTCACATCCTGCGCCATTCTGGCAAGGGTTACTCTCGCACTCGTTGACGTCTGCAGGTTGTATTAAAGAGAAAAGCCACAAATTGAAATTTAGAAGAAAAGACTACAGAATGTTTCAGGATCCCGTGGGCTTGGGAGGTTGTGTCCTTGAGCAAGACACTTAGTCACAAGTTGCTTCTCCCCATCCAGGAGTAACATCAGTATCTGTAAGGGCAGGAGCTGAGATGATCTTTCGAATGTTTTATGCAACTGACCGTGCCACAGGGTTAATAATGATAATGGGCTTTTCTTTTTGCATGGACAAAAGGCAGATATACGAATTATATAACTACATTCCACAAAATTTGTTCGACATGTTCAATTATTTACAAATGTAGCAAAAGTCCCCTAATTTCAGACTTTGTAAAAACTTACTTAATGTAAAATATCTTCTCAAAATTGTACTAAAGAAGATATAAAGGGATATGAGCTGCAATCAATTGATTGAGACGGGTCAGCACTTACCTGCTCCACAGCGTGAGCCAGTATAGCCAGCATTGCAGAAACATTGGTAGGAATTGACCCGGTCAAGGCACACTCCGTTGTTCAAGCACGGGTCGGAGGCGCACTCATTGATCTCTGCAATCAGAAAATGGGGTCAAATATTGCCTCAAATTTTACATGCTATGAAAAAAAAGCTGCAAAGTGGAGATTTTGCTGGTTAAAAAGTTCTGTTCAAAAAGCCAGAGACACTTATTCCCTGGCCTGATTGTTTTTACTGATATTTTCCTTCTAGAAAGAGATTACTAATGCAATATTTCATATAAAACTGCCTTGAAACTTACGTGTTGAGCATGTGGGATCGTTATAACCAGGAGGACAGACACAAATAAATTGGTTGGGACGATTGAAACAGTCTCCGCCATTTCTGCAGGGATTACTGGCGCACTCATCAATGTCTGTAAATGTCAAAAAAAAAGGAGGCAGGTTTTTGCACGGAACTTTTTTCAACTACATATCCCAGATTTTAAAGAGTGCATGAATTCAGAAAATTTGATAAACTGTATGTCAGCCAAAGCACTTTTTCCAGGATAGCGGGTGATGTATTTTGTGCATGGTATTCACAATGAATATTCATGAATAATGGTAAGCCCATGATTGGTCAACAGGCCACACAGTATCATTAGACTTGTCACAGTCCATAGGATGCTTCTACTTCTACTTTTAAACCAATGGCAATAAACAACACAGAATAAAATTCTTCACTAACTGGACAAAAAGTTTCAAGCAAATGCGTCAAGAAACCACACGACAAAGTTCCCCTTCACATTCCCTTTCATATCTTGTTTCAATGCTTACCTTGTTGGCAGTTCTGCCCACTATATCCAGGTTGACATTGGCAGATATAACCATTCGTTTGGTCGACGCACACTGCATTATTCTGACAAGGGCTACTTGTACAATCATCAATATCTATAAAGAGCAATAACAACAATGAAAGACCACAGAAATGTTGGTTTTGTCTTATATTGGAATTATAACAGTTTGCGGAGGGACTTTGAGTCAGACGTTCAGAAGCAGTTGCAGAAATTTTGCAGGAACTCAACAGTATAAAGTGGTTCTTTGCAGAACCAATAATTAAAACTGGAGATTCTTGATAGAACCAAATGTTTATCTGAACATTCTTGGCAGTACTCTCACATCACTGAAGTACAATCTAGAAAAAATATTGCGAGGAAACGCAGCCCTTCACTAATTCAAAAGTATACATTGGTTCTTCAAAGAACCAAATGGTAGTTATGGTTAATGTTCTTCCCGGCTTAGAAAAAAAAGTGGTTTTAGAGGAGGAATGGAGGAACAGTAACTTGAATAGAATGAAGTCGTTCTTGGAAGAACCAGATGGTTTCAATATATCAATGTTCCAGCCATAACATCATCCACTTCACTGGTTCGTGTTTGGACATTCCACCGATAGTTCATTGCCTACTTACTCTGTTCACAGCGAGCTCCCATAAACCCTGACAGACAGTTGCAGGTGAAGAAGTTGAGATTATCCACACATTGGCCGCCATTGGCGCAAGAATTGGGCTGGCAATCGTTGATATCTGAAATGTGAAAGTCATCCAAAAGATACAAATTGTTAAGTCATTCTTCATAAAACAAGCCAGTCTGAAGTTTTCCCGTTTTGTATTTTCATCTTCAGTTACGATGCTAAATATGTACACTGTGAAGACTTTCAAAATTGGATCTTTAGTAATCTCGCTCTGGAAGGAGTAGGAACTTTGTGAGTTTTGAGAAACTTCCTTATCTGAAAGAGTGACTAAACAAGCCATGCTTACTGTTTTCACAGTTGTCACCGTCGTACCCTGAGCGGCAAGTACAAGTGTAGCTATTGACCAGATCCGCACATACACCTGAGTTCAGGCAGGGACTGCTAGCACACTCATCAATATCTGTATGTCAATAAAGATGGGAGAATAAATAGCAAAACAAGGGATGTGTTTTTTGATCTAGCTGAAACTGTAAGAGGGAGAGATGCCTACTGGTTATGGTTTGTGACTCATGATCACAGGGTTAGGGGTTCAAATCCAACAAGCTGGCCACATGTTTTGTCCTTGGGTAAGCACTTTACCATACTTGCCTCTCTCCGCACAGACATATAAATGGGTATGTGCACAGCTAGAGAGTAACATTCAATGAATTGCCATCCAGTCCAGGGGATAAGAGTAATGCAGCCATTAGGAAGCTGAATTGAAGTTTGTGTCACAGCTGGAAAGACTCATTTTTTTTAAGTGGGGGGATGGGGAAAACAGAAAGAGTCAAGACAAAAAACTTACTTGTTTGACATAACGTTCCCTCGTAACCATCGGCACAGAGACACTCTACGCCGCTTGTGAGAGCACGACACGTTGCTCCGTTGAGGCATGGATCACTGAAACAAACATCAATTTCTGGAACAACACAGAAGGAAATCAATTTATTATGAATGAGTTTGAGAGCCACCTTGTAGATGACTATGCCGTGCAAACATACAAATAGGAAAGGACAGCAAATCTCAACTCACCCATGTCACATGTGGTTCCATACCAGCCTGATCGGCATACACATGTAAAACCGCTGGCTCGATCAAAGCAGGAGCCTCCGTTCTTACAGGGCTGACTGTTGCACTCGTCATAATCTGAACATTACAGTGAAATAAACCACAGAAAACAGATATAAAATAACAGTTTAAAAAAAACAAGATATAACAATTATATTAAAGACTATAAGAGAAACTGAAATGTATGTCAGAATAAAGCCAAGTGCAGGCTTTAAAATCTACTGAGAAAATACTTTAAGTTAAATAGAGGGCCTTTGTTATTGTAACTTCATTGCTATCTACAATATGGAGTACTTCTAAGCTTAATATAACTCACCAATCTCACAGTTAGCACCCTGGAAACCATCGCGACAATCGCAGGAGTAAAAGTTGGTGAAGTCTCTGCACGTCCCACCGTTAGTGCAAGGTGCACTGGCACACTCGTTGATGTCTGTCAAGATGAAAACAAAAATCAGATATCTTTGGACTGAGATTGAACAGAATAAGGTAAAATAACATACGGCTAATTTCACGTTGCAGAGAATTTGGTTAGCACAAAATGTTTGTCTGAGCGTCTGAAAAAAAGTCTTTGAAATGAAGGAGGAACACCTAGAGAGGGGATTGGGTAAACGTTGATGAAAACGCAAGGAATCAGTGGAATTTGACTTCAAAATGATGCTGCACATACTGCCCAAGTAAGTGGTGACTTCATTTGTAAAGGCTTTATAGTCACTTAAGCTGCAGACTTGAGGTAAAGTCTATTCTCAGTGATACAGCAATAGCCTCTGTGCATCTCATGGCCTTACTTGTGTTGCAGTTGACTCCGCTCCAGCCGTCCAAACAGCTGCAGGTGTACTGGTTCTGTCCATTGGCACACGCTCCTCCGTTCTGGCAGGGGTTGCTGAAACACTCATCGTAATCTGTCAATAAAACACATTCTTAACATCCGTCTTAAAAAGTAAAACACTACATAATGTTTTGCTGAGAGTGATTTGGGGCTGGTTTTTTTTAATAATGGTCTCAACAGTCTAACCTCACTAATTATACAGTCAGAGAATGGCTATAATGCTGTTGTCTACATGACCTCTGACTAGGTGTCAACTTCATCTCAATATTCACACAGGTTCTATGTTACCTGTCCTGATATATGAGGAGAGGCCTCCAGTCTCAATGATAGATATTATCCTTTCTTACCTTGTTTACAGTCAGTTCCTTCCCAGCCTGATGGACAGATGCAGGTATACTTATTCAATCCATTCATGCAGGTGGCTGTATCCAAGCAGGGGCTGCTTGCGCACTCATCAATATCTGGGGAAAAGATTCCAGTAAAACGGTACAATTTACAAAACTTTCTTATGTATATATTTGCTATCATCAGGAATCAGGTTGGCAGAGTGCTACTTTCCTGACCATCCATCGCTGTGACCCAGGTTCGATTCCCCACCTATAGGATGTGTGGTTGGGTTTTCAGTCCCTGCCTAATTCTGCGGTTTTGATCCTCCAGGCTCCCACCTCTCCCAAGTTCTTTGAAGTTTTCGGGGGGACCACTACAAATGCTGAATTTCAAGCGATAACTCTTACCTAAGTCACACTGGTCTCCTGTATACCCAACGATACATGCACAGGTGTAGCCATCTAGCAAATCAGTGCAGGAGCCGCCATTTTGACAAGGGTTACTGGCACACTCGTTAATTTCTACAAAACAAAAATCATGTCAAGAATTTAATTGAATGCTATAAATAAATGCAATTGTCTGGTAAGATACTGTACAGTGAAATTGTCAGAGCTGCTCCAATGAATACAATGTTTTCAGGAATGAGCCAAGATATTTATCTTACGTGATTCACACCGCATTCCTCCGTAGCCTGGTTCACATTCACAGACAAACTGATTGCGGTCATTCAGGCAAGTTCCGTTGTTCTGACAGGGGTTGCTGGCACACTCATTCACATCTACAAAAAAAAATTAAAAATCAAAGAAAATATGTTTAGATCTTCCAAGAGAAGAAATTACTTTAACAGATCCGGTTGGGAGTCAGGTTGGCGCAGTGGTTCTTTCTTCGCCTTCCACCTCTATGGTCCGCGTTCGATTCCTGCCCTGGTCCACATGTGGATTGGGTTTTCAGTCCCTACCTGATTCCGTGGATTTTCCCCCAGAATATTCTTCTTTGGTTTTCCTCCCACCTCTAAAACTGTAATTTCTTCTCATTGTCTCCTCTCTACAGGTTTCTTCAGGCTTGCGAGCTACAGTGCCTGGGGCGCTTTTGAGGAATTCTTGGTTTGAGTACCAGAAATATAACAATTATAATAATAATACCTACAAATATTGAATTGAATTGTTCTACTCACCCAGTTCACAAGTGGTTCCTTGCCATCCAGATAAACACAGACAATTCCATCGATTCAATTCGTTGTTGCACGCAGCACCGTTCAGGCAGGGAGTGCTTGCACACTCGTCAATTTCTGCACGCAAAATAGAAATATTCACAAGAATGTTGTATTTGTTGTTACAAGTGATTAAAAATTAGTGCAAATGTCAAACATATATGGGGTAAAATTGCTGTAGAATTGAATAAGGCTGGTACAAACGTCATGCAAATTTCAAAACTGAAACTTCACATATCAACCACAAGTAAACCGTTGGTACTGGATCAGAGTTAACTCTACGTACCTGTCTCGCAGTTGATACCACCATAGCCGTCCCTGCATTGGCACACGTAACCGTTGATCATGTTGGTACATGTACCCACGTTCTGGCACGGCCCACTTGCACATTCATTGATATCTGTCAAAGTGCAAAAAATATCATCGTAATGTGGGCTTGCGACAGTCTGTGATTGTCTGTGATATGTTATGATGTGATATGTTGTGATATTACTTGAACCATCTTTGATAAAGAGGTCTTGAGTTGTGCCATGTTTATTCAAAATGGGCGAATAATTGGCAAAGTCTTGAAGGAAAATCTTGCTTTTAATATTTACAGCTTATTTGGTGAATGTTAAGGTTAACTTTTGTTTTTCTTGGGCCCGTTATTTAGCGCAGAAATACAACATTTTCCAGACATAGTTCAAACTTACCAGTCTGACAATTCTTGCCGTTGTAGCCTGGTAGACAGTCACATCTGTAGTCATTCTGCAGGTTTTGGCAAGTGGCGTTGTTCATACACGGCATGGAGTCGCATTCATTGATATCTTGACACAAACACAGAAAACAAAATTAATATTAAAATCAACAAGATATTAAACTGACAGAGATAACTTCAACGGACCATATCAAAGCGAATACTAGTACGATGTGAGACTTACCAACAGAGCAATGATCACCGGTCCATCCTGGAGCACAGGTGCATGTGTATCTATTCACATCATCCACGCATGTGCCACCATTGAAGCACGGACGACTGGCACACTCATTAGTTTCTGAAACAAGACGGAAGAAATATTAACCCTAACCCTTCACAATTCTTCAAAATCAATCAGGGTAGTAGTAAACCTGCACAGTTTTAGTCAACTCAGACAAATGAGATTTGTAGTTTCTGTCATTCATAATTCAGGCACAAAGGACTTTCTCCAGCAAAAAATACAAGCACCGATAAAGCATGTGTTTCCAAATTTGAAGTTGTGTAGTCCATTTGATTTTGCGAACTTGGTGTCAAAAACACTTCCAGATTTTTTCTCCAGCAAAAAAAGCTCACATATCAGAAATACTGTTTTAAATGTTGTACATTTATGGCTTCAATTTTTCAAATATTTTTGGTTAATCTTTATGAACCCAGCATTCGATTACTTCCCTGGCGTTTACTCATGCAAGCGCGACTGTGTTTGAATTAACTCTCAGGGGACTTCTCGCACTTACTTGAGCCTGGCCTAAGTAACCGACCCACTGAGTGGGTTACTTGGGTAAGTATCCCACAATACAATGCAAAAACATGGCGGCTAAGTCTAACGCTGCGGCGCCGGGATGGTGTCTCAGCTTCACTTCACACTAGTACTAGACGACGGGAGGAAAGTGAAGTTAATTAAACTCAGCGTTTCTTGTTCACTTTGGAAGAGCACATACAGTGGCCACCATGGCTCACTTTGGACGGCTCGAATCAATTTGCAAAGGGGATTCAATCGCCACATGACCTCTTGACCCAGTCCGGTTGCTATGACTCGACCTCGAGTAACCCGAGATCATTCGTATATTGCTCCAGATTGCGCATTGCACATGATTGCTCCATCTATACCCAAGACAAAAGTGTGGGAAGGCGCAAGGGAAGTTATCGAACGCACTAGATGAATAACAACACCCTAACAATACTACGTACCTATATGACATAAGATGCCAGTGTAGCCAGGCAGGCATGTGCATGTAAACTGGTTCTGACCGTTGTTGCAAGTTGCACCATTCTGACACGGGTTGCTGTCGCATTCGTTGTAATCTGCGAAATAAACAAGGAAGACATAAGAGAGCATGTTCTTGAAATATGGCTTCTCAAACGCTCTGTAACAAACATTTTTAGTAAAACTTTTTGTGAAAGTTTGAGTTTTATGACACCCTCCTTTAAGCACTTACCAAATTCACAGTTGGTACCCAGCCTACCAAGGGGACATATGCACTGGTACCGGTTGAGCTGGTTCAAGCACGTTGCACCAGTTTGGCACGGCTGGTTGAAACATTCATCAATGTCTGGCAAATGAAAAAGGTGAACACAGGTTTTCTTGGGTTAGCAGTTTTCTTGGAAGATTAAGAAAATTAATATTGAAAACTTGAAGACTGCCTGGGAAGCATTAACATCCTGCAGTCAAAATTAAAACTCACAGAAGTTTTATATTTTTGATACTCACAACACTTGGCGTATATCTTTGTTTAATAATGGAGATTGACATATGATACATTTATTTTGGCACAACCAGGTTCTATACCTAGGCATGGGGGAGGGGGGGGGGTCTGTTCTCACCTGTTGCACATGTAGCACCTGTCCAGCCAGGTGCACAGGTGCAGTTATAGAATGCTTCATAATCGTTGCAGGTGGCTCCATTCCTGCAAGGGTTGCTGGCACACTCGTTGATATCTAGAAACAATAACATCCAATAAATAAAAAACATTTGATATTTAGGGGTGATAGGGTGTTTCATAAAACATGAAGTAAAATTGTTGAACAAAATGGTTGGCAACATCTAGTTTTTGACTTGTTTAACTTTTTGGACCTAAAAGATTTGGTTTCTTTGACCGAAAAGGTATTTATGAATGGGATTAGATATGTGTTTGGTCGGTATTAAACACTCTGTTTAAGACTGGTTGGAGTCTGGAGTGCTGATAATTACCCTCGACAGCATTCCATACTCCAACCAGTCTTAAACATAGTGGTTAACACCTCCCAAGCACACAGTTATTCCATTATTATCATCTGGTTATGAGCTTGAGAAGAAAGTATGAAAACAAGTTATTTGTGGAATCCAAACGAGTTAATTACCGATGTCACACATGATGCCTCTCCATCCATCATTGCAGTCACATGTGAATTGATTGACTTGCTCAGAGCAGACACCATTGGCACACGGGTTGCTTAAACATTCATTAATATCTGCAACAAAAAGCAACAAAGTTAGTCAGATTTGAAGCTGTGTGTGGCAAACTAACATTTAATGGAGGTTTCTGATAACACAACATGGAAATATCTGCAAAGAACGAATGAATAAACACTCAATGTTTCAATCAGTGTAGTCTAACCATCTTCAAAAATACCCCACTCAAGTCAAATGTATGTGCTTCACAAATATGTGGACTGCTTTTTAAGATCCTACTGAGAAAATTAAATTTTAAAGGACAAACTATTTCGACGCCAGAAGACCTTAATAGAACACAGTGTCACTAGACCCTAAAACTACCGAAGTTAATTGGCAGAAAGTAATCCTGATTTTTATCATTTTTAATAAATTTATCATAAAAGTTTAAACTGATAAGTCAAATATAAGAGTGCTTGAAGACAATTTCAATAACTCTCCTACCAGTTTCGCAGTGAGTTCCCTCAAAGCCTGGTCGGCAGCTACACTGGTAACCGTTGACTTGGTCTACGCAGTTGCCGCTGTTCTGACACGGTGTGCTTGCACACTCGTTGATGTCTAAAGAAAGCAACAGGGAAAAGATGAATATTTCACAGCAACCTGTGTTTGAAAATATGATCACATTTATCAGATAAGACAGAATTGGAGTCTGATTGGTTGGACATACTCTGTCGGCATTGAGGCCCCATCCAGCCTGCTGCACAGTCACAGATGAACTCGTTCTCCTGATTCTGGCAAGCGCCTCCATTCTCACATGGGTTGCTCAAACACTCATTGATATCTGCAAAAGCAATAACGTAAAACACGCTTAAAATCAAAGATTGAGTTAAGAGTTTTCCCACTCACTGATATATGAGCTCTGGGAGTATAGGGCTATGTGCTGAGACAAGTATAACCCCCTCACTGGTGACTGGTGTAGGACACTTCCCTCATATGGTGACCTTTTTTTTTCTTTTCAATTTCTTTTTATTATGTGACTTCCTCCAGCTCTGAACCCCAAACATTCAAAACAACAGTCAAGCTGTACTACCCAGCCACTGTACCGTCACTCCAATTCACCCCTGGTTCGATACTCACCCAAGTTGCATGTGGTTCCCTCCCAGCCGGGCTGGCAATTGCAGCGATACTGATTGCGCTCATTCAGACACTGACCACCGTTCAGACATGGGTCTGAAGCACACTCGTCAACGTCTGTGGAGAATCATATGACAACAATGACTACTTTGATTTCGCTTTGTTATTCCTTTGTTTATGAAAATGTTTTATAAAAATCATAATAGATTTGAAATCTATGGACTTGTATATTCACTCCATTATTGGTTGCTCCTTGTCAAAGCAAATCCAGTCTATGGACAAACTTTGTTCAATTTTATTTTAAATAGATTCTCATCACAGATCGATAGTGATTTTTGAGTGATATAGACCAAACTTCAAATTAGACATTTTACCAGTTTGGCATTGTGTTCCTGTCCAACCAGATGTGCAGGTACAAGAGTAGCTGTTCTGTAAATTGTTGCAATTTCCTCCGTTGAAACAAGGTTGACTGGCGCATTCATTGATGTCTGCAATCCAAAAAAAAATTAACAACTTTACACTTCTTTAAAGGCATGTAAGAATTAAAACTGATAATTAGCCAGAAACAGACCTACCTATTTAATGCCAAAAACCTCACTCAAAGTGGTGATTGGAATGATACCAATACCCTGTGACATTATTCTGCCTGAAATGGTATTGTTTGGGAGACACCAATCACTGAAGGTTGTTTAAAAAGGTGTGTCATACGGCACACTTTATTGCTTGGTTATCAAAGGAATTGAGTTACATCTTACCAATATCACAATTAACTCCTCGCCAGCCCCCAGTACAAACACAGTCGTAGCCATTGAAGCGATCAGTGCATGCAGCACTGTTCTGGCATGGGCCACTAGCACACTCATCAACATCTGCAGACAAAACCACGCCAGGAATGACACATTAGTGGGCTGAACAACAGGCTAAATTACAAAATGGTGCTTAACGAAAGTAACAATGCACACAAGAGTTGTGAAAGGATTATGCAAACCTAATTGTGTCACTATTTCAGACAAATTCAATAAAAAAAGTCAAAAAAATTGAAAGTTGCCGAGATGGGGTCCAGGTCATGTACTCACCGACTGTGCATGTATCTCCCTCCCAGCCTGGTTGACAGGTGCACGTGTAACCGTTGATGCCATCAATGCAATTTCCTCCGTTACGACACGGGAAACTGATGCACTCATTGATATCTGGCAAAATCCAACATATCAAATTAATATTTGACACAAAATGTTTCATCCATGATAACTGATTGAGGTACTCGCTGCTTTAATGGATTGCAACTCCATCCGATCCCAACAAGTGGAGTGCTAAGACATCTGTACCAGAAAGCAAGAGGTCGTAGGTTCGAGTCTCACCCAATCCATGCTACTTTTTTTTTCACAAGCTCTGTTGAATATTGTACTAATGAACAATTTTGTTGGTGAAGAGAAAAGTCCAACATTAAAAAGTTGTCACTGTAGACCATAAAAACTCCAATGTTCATTAGGGTGAGCGGGTGTAAGGGTTAATTATGTGTCTTACTTGTTTGGCAACGAGGCCCTGTGAATCCCTGCACACAGGCACATACATAGCTGTTGACCATGTCTGTACACGTCGCTCCGTTAGCACAAGGGTTGCTCAGGCACTCGTCAACATCTGCAACAAACAGAATACAAAAGAAAAGGACTGGGGAAGGATTCAAACCTGGGACCCCTGGAACGTACCAGTGCTTCACAAACTGAGCTGTCCAGCCCAAAGTTGGCAGTTTCCCAATGAGGTTGTAAACAGTAATTGACTGCAGCAGGAGTTGAATGTATGACCTCCAGAATGTCATTCCAGTGCTCTACCAACTGAGCCATCCGGCCCTGTGTTTGAAGTCTTTCAGTAGTCAAAGTCTTTGATCAACAAATGTGGAAATCGGTGAACAAAATGAAATGATAAATACTTACTCTCCGTGCAAGTCGACCCTGACCAACCAGAAGCGCACACGCATTCGTAACTGTTGATACGATCGTTACACTGTCCACCATTCTCACATGGGCCACTGCTGCACTCATCGATTTCTGCAAATACATACAAGCGCAAATATATGTTGAAGTGAATGAGTCGGTCAGTCGGTGAGATAGGTAAAGTGGACACTTGTCTGGCTGTGATAAAACATAAACAAATAACAAGCTTACCACTCTCGCATCTGTCTCCCTGGTAACCGGGAGCACAGTTACAGGTGTACATGTTGATGCCGTCCATACACTGGCCTAGATTTAGGCAGGGTCCTGAAGCACACTCATTCAAATCTAGAAAGACAAAATAATTTAAACAAAATCATATTTTGATTCTCTGACAAAGTGCTATACCTATAAAAACCCTGACTCCCTGAAGCATTTTTTTGGCCGGGAATCTTTCTAAATTTTAAAATCTCCACCATGGTGTGGAATCCAATAGATCATTCTTTTTACTTGAAACTTTCAAGAAGCATCGAGCCTCATAGTCACATCTTCCTTAACCTACAGAATCTCAAAATACAATTCTGGTCAATTTTGACAGGTCTGGAAGAGTTAGAGCTCAGCTGCAGCTGTTATACACTGTGCAATGATTGCGAATGAATTTTCTTGGAATATTGTGAAGAATGGTTAGTGTTCACGAATGTATATAAATCTATGTCGACCATTCCCGCAATGCACTACCAGTAAAGCAGGGGGTACGTGCAGCTTTTCTGGATAGTTAATCACTGGTATCAGAACAAGTCTTGACTTACTTGTTTCGCAGTTCAAGCCGGTGTATCCAGCCACACACCGACATCCGTAACCATTCACTACATCCACACAAGTGCCGCTATTCTGACACGGATTACTGGTGCATTCGTCAATATCTGTAGCCAACAAGAAATTAGGTTAATGAAATACTGTACATCATCGATTCAAATTTTATTAATGTAATTCCTGGAACAAGAACCAAGGATTTCTCTTAAGGAAACCTGTTCAGATAAGATAATAACTTTCTGGGGAAAATCCACAGAATCAGGCAGGATTGAAGAGCAAATCTACGGTTCCTACTTCATGAGAATGTGAAGCGAATTTGATGTCATTAAACATTTGCTGTGAAATTCGCCGGAGTTGAAATATGTTAAACTTTTACGAATTCGCAGCGCGAATACTTGCCATGACGTCACAAATTCGCCTTCGCTTTTGAACCGGGCTTCAGCCTAGGTGGAATTGGAACCCGGATCACTGAGTTGGAAGGCATTCCTACTTGACTCCATCAAATTGAGTCTCATTATATGTGCTTTGGTTATTTGTCCTCTTGTATTTGATGCAGAATCTACTTACTCATTTGACAAGTGTCGCCCTGCCAACCAGCTGCACAGCTGCATGTGAATGTGAATTCTGCATCAGTACACGTAGCACCGTTAAGGCAGGGGAAACTGCTGCAGTCATCCAAGTCTGGCAAAATAATCACAAAGAATAGAATAGTCTTTACATTATCAAATATAAATGGATTCCTCAGAAACATGTTTCAAAAAATTAATTACTACAATTTTTTTCAAAATGCATAGTATTTCTCTACAGTGAGTCACTCACAATCATATTTCTGTCAAATTACAAGTCTTGTTGTTCACCTCAAATACATGAGTGGCTGAAGTATGTTTCCTTTGTTGGGTAGCAGCAATCATAAATTGATAAACTCAAAATGCCCTGTCACAACTTGAGTTGTTTACGCATGTTATAAACAGCAACCCTTCATTGTATTAGAATTATTTGGGCAGGGGAACAAAAATCTGTCATTTTTCAGTTGATTCTTACCTGCCATGTACGTGAGGCTGAAGCCAAAAAACTCGTTGCTGCTATCGGTGGTGAATAAGATCCAAGCCTGATTGCCACTGACTTCAAAGGTATAAGGGAGATTTGCTTGTTGAGTCTCAACACTATTACCATCAAATTGAGCAATGGCTTGGTTAGGATCCACGGTGGAACCACTGCCATACTCAAACGGATCCTTGCCGTCAACTTCCACCTACAAAAAAAAATTGTGAAAATTCCCAAAATCTATAAGGTATAACTAACTTATAAGCATATTTGAGGATGAGAAAGGAATGCCTTTGTCAGAATTTATTTGAATAACTTGAAACTTGACTTGAGACTGAAGGACTTGTGACTGACTTCATTAGAACTCCTGCAGTTAATTTTATCAATTATTAAGAACTTAATTAGGATGAGTTTACCTGAAAGGCACTGATAGAGAATTGTATCTTCTGTGCTTCTACCACTTGAATCAGATAGACGCAGTAGTCATTTTGATTGTAGTCGTTGGGATAGTTCGGTGACTGAATCGTCCCAGTATTGCTGAAGTAGTTCTCGCCACACGTCCGAGCTACAAGGCATCAAAATGATAACAATCTCATATGCATCACAATCATATACAAAAGCCAGGTCACACAAACAATACTGCATCAGGGCATACCTACCCACCAATGCTCCAGCATTGTGTATTTCTACTCTTGAGGAACTAGAAATTGAAACTCCTCATTTCTCACACTTATTTTAAATTCACAGAATGAGTTGTAAGTTTGGGATGGAGTTACTTACTTTTTGGTAATGTCTGTTCACAGTTTGTCCCGTGCCTTTGGCCGTTAGGACACAGACACACATAACCTCCACTGGAAACCTCTCTACACGTTCCTATCGAACACGGATTGCTGTTAGTACATTCTGTCAAAGGAAAATAAAACATTACATTCCCAGTCTTGTTTCTTATTCAGAGGTATTCACATGTAATGTGCGTCGCCAAGAAGCCTCAGTCCCTGCTCAAGGTCTGTTCAGATTGCATTCGGCACCTGCAGTTGAAGGTCCTAAGAGTTATGACTAGACGTCCACTAATGTGCCAGCGAGTGACTTAATTTAGAGAGCGGATAAACCTGGTGGATTTCACAGGTGGCTAGGTACAGGTGGATTTCATTTGGATTACTTTAGTGGACTGAGAAGAATTAAAGTGACACAACCTTAATTTATTACCACAACATGAAATGATTGGAAACATATACATGGTATACTGACTTCTTTACCGGCCCACCTCATATGATGTCATTATTAGGAATGTAAGGCTAAGCGGGCACTGTTCATCTATGACACATTTTCTTAACAGCAAATTATGATTAAAATGTGCTTTTTTTGGCTCATTTCTATTCTAATTAAATTCAAATATCAGAATTTTTGAACTCACGATTGCCGTCTGCCTTTTATTAAAGGCACATGATGAATAAAGACAAAACAATTTAGAAAATGTGAGTTTTAAGCATTTTAGTCATAATCTGCACTCTGATTTGTGTGCAAAATAATCACACTTTACTCTGCATTAAGTGTACACATTTCATTTTTCAGGGACCAAAAAAATACTTTCTTTAAATCAATTTCTTTTTGCTATGCAGAATCCGATGGAATCCAAACTTGAATTAAAATGTTTCTTGTGACTTTCTCTACAAAACCACATCAAAAACAAATGCAGAAAATTTAATCGAAACGTATTACTAGCCTGCCTATCTTTGTCAGATCTAGAAGGGAGCTTTTTAAATCTCTTAATTTATTTTTCTCTTTCACAAAAATGTGTGATTCGATTGTACACTTCTAATCTCAGCATGGCAAAATGCACTAATTAAACAAACCAATCATAGCTTATCATTGCTGTGCAGTGACTAAAGGACACGCCTACTCCAAACAATTAGCCAATCAGGTTTCAGTGCCTGTATGACAAGTGATTCTGACACTTAGCAAGCTCTGTTTTATCACATACAGTTCATGTAAAGGTCTAGGTATCACTTATTGATACATGATAATTCCTCAAGGGGGTAGAATCATTCCATTATAATATGAGGATATTTTACTAAATTATTGATACAATACACGTTTCAGATGACGTTCATGTGTGACATACTTTTCAAGTCAATTCAGAGTCAAGTTGGTCACTATACAAAATAGGCCTACAATAGCAAAAACACCGTGACTATAAAAGTCACATTGCAATTTTGCAGTTGCGAGATGAGAAACACGGCGGAAGGAATAGACAAACTCACACAGTCACGAACTTCAAATGTCATATTCACCTATTTTCTAACTTAGCATCTTTCAGCACTTCATCTTGTACGCCTAGAGAATACCCATGTACGTTTTTAACCGTATTGAGATCGATGTACGCACCTAAATTGTACTTTTGAGCACACTTCATGTGTTCTTATTCCTCCATGATAAAATAAACCGAACTTCACAATGTTGCACTCACAGACATAAAGTCTATGTTGCACTGAACTTGGCAAAAGAGCGCCCTCTATTGTTTTATTGTGTATTGTCGATAAATGCCATGCATGCTATGTGATAATGTATGAATAGGGAATAAAAAAAGATCTAAAAATCTTTCTTTATTCGTCGTTGATGTTTTGTTTCTTGGGTTGAAAAACTCCGAATTCGATGTATAACCATCGTAAAAAATCAATAATTTATCAATTGAACAGTAAGTTCAATAATGGGTTATCCATATTACGCACCTTGTCTGGGCTCTGCGTTTGTGTGTGCAACGGTTGAATGAACACAATGTAAGGACGAATTGGTTTCGGCATTGAAAATAATCCCTGGTCTTTTTCTATTGTGGTTGTATCCCTTGTTCAACGTTACCTTGGTAACGTATAAACACATCTCTACACAAAGGAGCTCGGTGAGCGAGCTCGTATCGTACGAACCATCATTCCGTAGTGAGTGAGTGTAGGCCATGTTGCTGTACTGTATCATTATCAGTGCGTCATGATTTCATTCATTTATCTCAGCACAACATACAAGCGTACCTTAAAAATGGAATTCGTTTCGTTTGCGTTAATTTTTCTTCATTTTCACCCACATTTCTAAGTGAACCAGTTGTTGTGCCTCAGTTTGTTTTTTTCGTTTTAAAAATGACAAGACTTGAATCTAATTGTAATGTGAAAACATCTCTTTCCCTCATGGAATTACGCACGGTAATAATATAGGAAATTCTGGAAGTTAAAAAGAAAGATAACATCTTTTGTATTTTTTTGTCAGTTTGCAAATCCTTGTTTTAAGAAATGCACCACACCCAAAAAATGCGATTCACAATATTCTTTAAAAAAATGCGATTCACCATATTCTTCTTCTTTTTTTCGAATACAGGTCAACTCGTACGCGAACCAACTCGTACGCGACCAACTCGTACGCGGTACAATTCGTACGCGAACCGACTCGTACGCGGACCAACTCGTACGCGGACCGACTCGTACGCGGACCAACTCGTACGCGGACCAACTCGTACGCGTGAGTTTAGACTATTGGTTTGGCTCACATGGACAGACGAAATTAGGTTCGGTACGGTACGGTCAGCATAATTTTACCTTTTCTGCCGGCGGGCTACTGGCCCACGGGCATTTCTACTAGCCCGCATTTTTTTCTTATCTCAGATACAAAATGGCGTATTTTCAAGCGCAATTCTGAGGGAATTTTGTCGGTGTTCTTGATTAACAGATCAGATAATTTAACCCTTTAAAACAGTTGATAATTAGACACAAATTAAAGGGGTTTCCTTTTTGAATTTAATGATTTTTTTTTCTTTCTGTTCGTTGATCTTTGCCGTATCCCAATAATTTTCCACTCGCACGCCGGCCTGGTTAAGGAATAGTTTGTCTAGCCCCGGCCGCCGCTGTTTTGACAAGCATTTGGTTAGCAGGCTATACCGCTAACGAACCCTGATGTGTTATGTGTTATACCTCCATGGTTATACCAAGCATTTCAGTTGTAAATAGAAATTGCTAGGCCTACGGATGTCCCCGCGTGTCTGCTTTTTAATTGATCAATGGTTTGAAACCACTCATATTTCGGCCCGCGTACGAGTTGGTTCGCGTACGAGTTGTCTCGCGTACGAGTTGCCTCGCGTACGAGTTGGCACGCGTACGAGTTGGTTCGCGTACGAGTTGTCTCGCGTACGAGTTGACTAATCCGCGTACGAGTTGTCTCGCGTACGAGTTGGTTCGCGTACGAGTTGACCTGTTTCCTTTTTTTCCACCATTCAAATCAGAATGCAGAATTCATTGAAGCGATATCGGAATAAATTTATTCAAAAGTCGAGAAGCCCGTTCATTCTTTAATAAAGCGACATTTACTGGAATGTGTTCCAGCATATCATTCATTGTCCAGCAGAAAAAAAAATCAACTTGTCACATCTGCTGACAATGCGCACATCTGTTGCCATCATAAGTAATGAGTATGAACAACCAGTACGGCAGCACCCTGATGAGTGGACCAATGAGTATAATTATTGAATTTTGAATAGTCTTTTCTTCACAGAGGACAATAGACACAGATGGTGCCATTTTATAAAACAGCTCACCAAATTGGTATATGTCAAATTTGCGCGGGCTACTTTTTTTCTTGCTTAATATTTATTTATAATTATTAATTATTTGCAGAAATTTAAAAAAAACCCGAATTTGCTTGCATAAAACATTTAATTTAATCTAATTTAAAAGTACTCATCTTTCAAATTTCGAAACACACGTTTTTTAAAACATAAATATGAAATTAACAAGTATTTTACTATTTAAAAAACACACTCCTTTTTGTTATGAATTCGTATTTGAATTGCGTAATATGTTTGCCGGCTATTTTCATATTCAAGGCCTTGCGGCGTGAATACTCAAGAAGCTTATACCACCCATTTGGAACACACAATTTTGGGAGAAATGTGGAAGCCATGTTCTTACCCCTGTATGTAAAAAGAAAAAAAAGGCCTTAAATGAATAGTAAAAAGATTACAATTTATTTTTCGATACTTTGTTTTAGAGAAATGGAAAAAAAAGAATGAAAAACCATTTCTTACCTCCCACACAGAAGACTTCAGACACCATTGAAAGCGAAATGACGACACCAAACACGATACTGCTGAACTTCGCCATGTAGACTTGGGAAGAAATCCCTCAGGAAAAAAGGAAGAAAATCTAACGCAAATCTGTAATTTCCAACCGAAAACACAGGCTTCCAACCGTCCACCTGTTGTGCGTAATTCCAGTAGCGCTGTTGCCAAGTCAATCGTGCAACCGACGCTACATATTTCTCCGCAGATGATTACAATCTTTGACAATTTTCACGTGTTCTCGATCTTCGTGTCTCAGTAGTTCACAGTAGAGAAATCAATTCATATCCTGTCCAGAAATTGTCGCCACAAGATATATCATCCAATGATTCCTGAACGATTATTTCTCCATGTAATGTAGAATTTACTCCGCACGACAAGGTGAAATTTCTACTTTCGAAAATAGTACAGACAGATATGTGTGTACATTTGTATGGCTTGCTTGTCAGTTACGCTTCAGACGGTGTCAGCGTCGGTGCGGCTAGGAGCTTTAACTGCAGCCGACCAATCAGGGTGCTTGTTACAGGTAATATCGATCCCGTCTTTTGTTATGCTAATAGCCATTGGAAACCACTCGGGTGTAAAGTGTGCATTGGCTTATGCGCTTGTGCATGGTATGGATGGCGCTCTCACCTGTTGTTGTGAAATGAAAACTTACAAAAGCCCAGTCATCATATAACCTGAAACCTATGACCTCATTTCCTCGAAGGCGAGTGGTGTACAAGCTCAAACATTGAGCCCGCCCCCCCCCCCCCCACCGCGCACGCACCATTTCAAGTGCAAGTATTTTTGCAAATAAATCAACGTACATTTTGACAAATTATGCGTAAAGTGAAAATATAAGCAAACAGAAAAGGCAGACCTATAAATGTATTATCAGTTATATGCTTTAGAAGCTTGTCCAAATGAGCAAAGTGTCATTATATTTAAATTATTTGACTGTACAAATGACATTGAAAATGTTTTAATCAGGAATGTATAAGAGATGTTTCCCCAGTTTGGGGTAGGCCTAATTTGTTGATGTCCACCGATATGACATCAGGTTTTGAGATTGTCTGATGACGATGAAATGAAACCTGGATCATGAACGAGTCGATCCTAGCAAAAGATGAACCTAAACCTTGGAGCGAAAAAAACTAATCTTTAAAATTACGAGAGAAAAGTACGCGTAAAAAAACGGAGGAAGTACTGCTACTAGTTAAAACAAACTTGTTTGTCATGGTACATTTACTAATGTATAATTCTGTTTGTGTACGGGTACACTTTTCACTTATGTTACCACACCGTTCTTCCTCAACAATAGTCTTGCCGATTTTTACTTTTATCATGATCATGATAAAATATTGAACGACTAGGTGTGGCATTTATACACGAAGGCCACACGATACGGTACTGAGGCAACGCCCAGCAGGTCTTGGCATTCTGCGTAAAGAGTTGCTCCCCAGTCACCATGATACGCTGCCTGTATAGGGCATGCATAATTAACCACTCATTGATAAATGTCCGTGCGACTTGCGTAGTACGTCTACCACACAGATGGCATATTAATATCATGGCCTTGGGGCACGCATCAGTTTAATAATAAAAGTCAACATCAATTTGCGATGTGCACTTTTAGGAATGCTCTTTACGCGCGCACTGATGATGTAAAACTCACAATTCATGCCGTATTTAGCAACTACCAGATAATAATCCACATCAGGTTGAATGCATAGGTTGTAAGTAGAATTCAAATGAATTGAAACCATGATGTCTAAAGGCGTGAAGCAGTTCATCTTCGGCTGCATGGCGAGGGACTGGCGGGGACGGGCAAAAGAAACCTTTTTTTTAGCACACGATTTTTTTTTGACAATCTATGAGGAGAAACACATGTTCACTACCCAAATGTCCCAATGCATAAAACTCAGCATCGTTCTATACAATATTAAAGCAGTTTCATCTATTGATACAGGATAACATCTATATATTTTTTCACGCTCATTATTTATTTTCTAACTGGCATACACAAGATACGTCCCTTACATTACGCATGCATCGGAGATGTTTGGATGATGACCACCGATCTATAACGACTGGGCGTTGGCAACTTAGTTCCAGACCAACGATTCTAATTACAAGAATATCATGTTTCAAGTGGGCGTGAATTTGGTCGATAACATACAAACGGTCGATCCAATTAAGAGATCTCGTTCATTTATTGGAATGTAACAAACTCAATATATGACTTTTAAAAAAAAATAATCATCCTTGCCACAATTAATTTATCATGAAACCACATTTTTGTGGCAATTCACGTACATGCACGAAACGAACGTGGTACGAAAATCCCATCCTTCCGCGGTGAATATCATCGAAGCTAGACGTTTCCGTGTATGGTTGCTTAGCAACGCACAACCCGCTGAGGGCAATCATCCATGCGTAAAATCCGGCAGACGACACTCGCTTCAGCGGTAGCTTTGAAGGGCGCCCTCTATCACGATAGGATGACGAGGTTAGAGTGTACACCTCGATGGCATTTTTACGAAAGCCCATTAGCGCCACTGCAAGTATATATGTTACAGATTGTGTAATTCGTTATTACGGATTACTAATTCGTTATAACGGATTATTTAATTCGTTATTACGGATTATTAATTCGTTATTACGGATTACTAATTCGTTATAACGGATTATTTAATTCGTTATTACGGATTACTAATTCGTTATAACGGATTATTTAATTCGTTATTACGGATTATTAATTCGTTATTACGGATTATTAATTCGTTATAACGGATTATTAATTCGTTATTACGGATTATTTAATTCGTTATTACGGATTACTAATTCGTTATAACGGATTATTTAATTCGTTATTACGGATTATTAATTCGTTATTACGGATTATTAATTCGTTATTACGGATTATTAATTCGTTATTACGGATTATTAATTCGTTATTACGGATTATTTAATTCGTTATTACGGATTACTAATTCGTTATAACGGATTATTTAATTCGTTATTACGGATTATTAATTCGTTATTACGGATTATTAATTCGTTATTACGGATTATTAATTCGTTATTACGGATTATTTAATTCGTTATTACGGATTATTTAATTCGTTATTACGGATTATTAATTCGTTATTACGAATTAGGTCTGATGTTCTCACACGTGGAGAGCACGTGACCAGGGGCCTGTGTATATAGCGCCGCTAGGCGGCGCTATCTTTGCATACAACGTTTGCACTCCTGTGCCATACTTGCCGAGTATGACTCAGAACGTATGAGTAATTCGTAATAACGAATTAATAATCCGTAATAACGAATTAAATAATCCGTAATAACGAATTAGTAATCCGTTATAACGAATTAGTAATCCGTTATAACGAATTAATAATCCGTAATAACGAATTAAATAATCCGTAATAACGAATTAAATAATCCGTAATAACGAATTAAATAATCCGTAATAACGAATTAATAATCCGTAATAACGAATTAGTAATCCGTAATAACGAATTAATAATCCGTAATAACGAATTAAATAATCCTTTATAACGAATTAGTAATCCGTAATAACGAATTAAATAATCCGTAATAACGAATTAATAATCCGTTATAACGAATTAGTAATCCGTAATAACGAATTAATAATCCGTAATAACGAATTAAATAATCCGTTATAACGAATTAGTAATCCGTAATAACGAATTAAATAATCCGTAATAACGAATTAATAATCCGTTATAACGAATTAGTAATCCGTAATAACGAATTAATAATCCGTAATAACGAATTAAATAATCCGCAACATATATACTTGCAGTGGCGCTAATGGGCTTTCGTACATTTTATATCAGGTATGAAATAAATTTGTGTGTGTGTGTAATATACACGTCTCCAAAACCTTTCTTAACGGCTTGGGCATTCTCTTAGTAAAAATATGATTTGCTTTTACTTGGAACACAAGATTTGGACTCCTAACTCTGCACCCATTTTATTTTCTAATCAACCAGATATCGGCAAAGAAAAGCACAAAATTCCACGGAATTACCTTTCTTCAATAGGATATATTTCATAAAGGGAGTTTTTACAACATAAAAGCAAAATGTACAAAGAAAGTAGATTTGAGCTACATACAAGAATTGATATGGAATGTAAAAGAAAAACAAAAATATGCAAATTTGAAGTAAAAAACCAAGACGAAATTTTAAGCAGAATACATTTTCCAAACATTTTTCTGTCTAGATAGAAATATATGACATCAATCACCAATCATTAACTTTGGCCTAAATTCTTCTTCCATTTGTCACAAAAATATTTGTTCACAAAAATGTTCAGTCGCCTTCAAGTGTTCAATATGTATAATTTTAATATCCCCCATACTTCAAAAATGTGAATCATAAAAAGAGCAATTTTGTTTTTTACATTTTCTCAAATTTCCACCAAAACTAAATGTTTTTAATATTGTAAGAAAACAAAACAAAAAGCAGCATTTTAATCTTTTGGTGACATCAGTGTTCATGTATTACAATTAGACGAAAACAGTTCCAACTTTCAACATGACACAGAAGTTCAAAGTTCTCAACTTATAAGCCGTTTCAATATTTGCACATGATTTGAGCTGCATATGGAGGGGAACATTACAATTCTGTGCCCCTTGCAAAAATTCAAAAAGGGCCCTCTTTGAAAAATAACTTTATTAATATTTACAGTATTTGAAGAAAACAATAATAGCCCACTAGAGCCCTTTTAACTTGAAATTACATTTACGTTCTGCATACAATATCTTCCCCAATAAATTAGCCACACTTTTCCATCACCTTCAGCCCCAAAGGCATTTCACCTGGAATCTTCTTGAATCCTCTAAAATCCAAACGTTGGGGTAACACTATGGCACATGAAGAAAGCCAGGCCATAAACCACCCATGTACAGTAATAGTGGCTGAGCCTCAACAGTACTGATTCTAAAGCAACCCTTTACCCACATACCAGTAAATAAGCTTGCACCCAGGCAAATGAGTTCATTCTTTTTAGAATATGACCTTGATAGCTTTATAGCAAAAACCCTACAACAAAAAACCTCCGCATACTAAATGGCATGTTAATATAGAAATTATAAATAGACAAGATATGTACAACTACAAGCACATAAGCTTTAGTTACTTGCCGACTCTTCCATCATCCCTGTGTTGTACCTGTGCCTGTTGCAGTTGCACTGGCCATGGCCTGCAAGAGCAAACAAACAACAAATAATATAGTGCCATGCAAAGACTGTCAGGGGTGCTTTTTGTTCTGTAATTATCAATCCAATTACAGAAACTTTGGAAACTTAAAACCACAGCGGTTACAATATCCTGCCAGAATTTATGGTGATGGGGTAGGTTTAGGGAGGGGGGGGGGGGGGGTTTGTAGTGTCTCGGAAAGTGGGTAGGGATGGATGAAGTTGGACATCATCTGGCTCTAGGTGGCGCTGTTCACATACAGGAAGGTGGACGGAGGTTGGACATCATTCAACACAAGATGGCACTGTCCATGGTAAACAATGGTACGTAACTTGACAAATTTCTCCAATCCTCTTTACTCTTACAATTGCTGCCCATACTATCAACATCCTTGTTAATAGATTTTATTAGATTTGATCGAAACTGAGATGGCTGAGTACCTACCCTACTCATCATCTGTTGGCCCAGGAACTGCGTGGCCATCGTCGACAGCTGTTTCCTCGAACTGACTTTACATCGGACGTAACCAAAGAGATTGGCAACACTCAGCACCAGGGCAACTAGCGATACAACCTGTCAAGAACCAAAATAAAAGAATTGACTGATGAGGGATTTAAACCTCCAACTCTAAGATGCCGAATTTATCAACACTGCTGATTTGTACTTGCATTGCAATTCGGCTGTAATCCTTTGGCACAGACCATGTGCGATTCAATGGCCTTGACAAGTACACCATGAGTAAAGGCATTGACAAATAAGCCATTTGAGAGTTAAATTTGATTAAAATCTGGAACGCTGACTTAATCCAATGTTTTGTACGTTTTAACTTTACATTCTCCCGACCAAAGAGACTGTTGCCATACTACGTGATTTGGGGCAAGCCTGCTAGCAACCCCCAGCTCCAGCATGGTCTGGTGTCTTTGTGCCATTCTCACCCATTGTGAACAATGTATTGGTGCTGAGCGTCTCTTACGTGACTATGCAAGAGCTTGCCCCGAATCATGTGATTAGCAACAGTGTCTTTGGTCTGGAGATTTCGAAGTTAAAATCTGCCAAGCATTCGGAGCAAGTCAGTGTACCAGATGTTTTTCAAATTTAAATCCCAAAGGGTATAGGTCACTCCCAAATTGGTTTATTAGGAGACTACAGTGCTGCATAGCTCCCCTTGTGAGTGTCCAATGTAACATAACAGCTGGTGGTACAGTTTTTGAATCCATTTTGCTTCTGATGGGTTTTGAAGTATTTGGGGTGGTTAGATGTAAAACTCACCATCCATGCAAATCTGAAGGAGAAAAGATTAGCGAAGACAAAGATAACCCACAGAATTGGGCAGATGACCAAACCAAGCCAGAATAACCGGGACTCTGTGGCTGTCTCTGTGTTCTTCTTGGATCCCTAAAAGAAAGAAGAGAAATTAAAATTTTGTCACAATTTTTAAAGTTGCCACTTGACTTAGAACTAAACATGTTATGGACTTATGATGACTTGTTTACAACTGTCAATGGATCTAAAACCAATTTTTAATTTTTTTTTAAAGATGTTTCTTCATATTCACCTTTCTGGACTCGTACACCCAATGACTTGTTCCGTCTTCATCAATGTGGTTCCACCAGCGCAGCCCGACAAGCAACCGACCCGTCACGTTCTTGACCGTCCAGAAATCCAGTGAGACAAAAAAGAGGATGACAACGAAATCAACGATAAAGCTGGAACTGTAGAAGTTGCAGAAGAGATAGGAGACTAGTGCCCCCACTCTGAAGAAGAGATGAAAAAAGGCCGCTGCGGGATACCTGTAGTCATGAAAAAAAACAACACATCTCTTTGAATCATTTATCAAGAAAGTCTAAACCTGTTACAAATATGGTTTAAGAAATATTATTCCACTTTTTATCATTCACTTTGACAACTTGGCACAAGAAAGTGCTGTGACGGAGGTTTTTCAACACAACATTTATGACAAAGTTCAGAGGATATAAATAAGAAACTTTCCAAATTTGTGTATTGATGAAAATTCATCTCATATTAAGCTTTAAATTTACTATGAAGTCAGTTTTAAAATTGGGTAAGTTTTTCGTACCACAGTGTTTGTACAGCACCCTCTATTGCAAATGACTCTCCCTAACTTTAATAAAAGACCTCAACAACTTTTGAAACATTTATGAAGGCATTGGATATTTGACCGTGAACCAGTCCCTGATTGCTTTCATTATTTTACCGGCACGGCACTAAACATGTACATTGACTGTTTTTTGGAAATCAAAATTTTAAGCGTAACAATCTTAATAGTATGGTTCTGGTCTAACAGTGTCATTGTGACTTCGTTTTCACAAGATGGGAATCAGACCTATTACAATTTGGGACTTTATTTCCCTTTAAAACAAATCCTCCAGAGCCTCGAATCAGAAAAAGAAAATTAACAACTCTGTAATTAGATGTAGGATTTAATTTAAAGTAAGGCAAAAAATGTTTCAAGTTCAACAACAGCTGCGCTGGGATTCGAATTCAAGGGGCATGACTTGCGAGCAGGCACTCTATCCACTACCGGCCCCCGGCACTAGGCCACGCATTTGCCTGATGTTTACTGGTATTTTTTATAATGTAGGCCTACTCGTATATGCATGTGCATGAGGGCGCTATATGATCTGCCGGCTTAAGTTAAGAACAATAAGTTAAGAATGTGATAGGCCCTACCGGTTCACGGCTAAAAAAACATGTTGTTTCATAAATTGGAATATTAATGAACACGACAAAAAAAGTTGAGATAACCACTGAATATTGGAAACGAGAAAAGATTCAATTTTGTGTTGCAACTTATAAATTTCCACTTTGCAACAACAATAACACTAACCCTATACATTTGCGTTGTCCGGAAACTGGGCATCACGGGGAACATTACTTACCGTATTGCTCGCTTCCTTCTCCAATCATCTTCTGATCCAAAATCCAAGGCAACATCTTCCGTGTCGTCTAAGCTCGCCTATAAAGTAAAATGATTTCAAAATATAATCGATTTATGGCACAAAAATCGTTAATAATGAAATCCAGAATGCACAGAAATGTACTCACCATGTTTTCGACGTCGTGTCTTTCACGTAAATATTCGTGAAATATCGTAGTCAAACGAGATTTGAGCCTTTCGATAAAAGTAGTTCCTAAAATGGCAATTAATTAGAAATAATAATAAGAATTATATGGCAAGGGATGATAAAATCGTACTTCGTTTTTGGATTATTTTGTCTTTGAACAAAATAATAATTTGAGTATGGCTTGTACCGAAAAATATATATTATATGATATATCACTCCGCGAATGCTGCGCATGGACATTTAATTATTGAGAGGTGTTGCTCGGCAGTGCAAGTTAGCATACTTTGTGCTATTCGGAGTGGGTGTCGGACGCTTCGCCCCATTTCCACGTCGCCCCATGTCACTTCGCCCCTAACCACTTCGCCCCATCCCCACTTCGCCCCATCCCCACATCGCCCCATCCCGCTTCGCCCCATCCCCACTTCGCCCCATCCCCGCTTCGCCCCATCCCCACTTCGCCCCATCCCCACTTCGCCCCATGTAGTATGAAAAAGGTGAAGGCTAGGGGTGCAGACCAAATAAACTGCCAAAGACCCCAGATAATAAATGCTCCCAATTCTAGAAACTTAGGAAAAATACAAACTCTCTGATGAGGTGCTCGACACACAGATGAGAGAAATGATGGCTCTATCCCATTCAGAGACGCCTCTCCTATTGGCTTGTGAATAAAAAAATGTGCGTATGGTAAGAACAACACATTGTGAGTTATTCGCGAGTGGTGTGACATTGTGTGGATTATGTTCTTCAATTGAGACACATGAAAGGGGTCTCAAAAATTGGGTAGAAATAAGAAGGAGAAATCAATGGAAGTTTTGACCGTAGCCAAGTTTACCCAGGCAGTGGGGTGGGTTAGGTTTAGCCCCATAAATGTGGCCTATTTACTGGACTGCCTCCGTAAACATAGGCCACACATCCACATGTACAAAAATCGTGTCGACGGAGCCAAATTTTGATTTTCACATTTAGGCTTAGTTTGTAGGGTTTTTTTGCTTTAGAGGCATACTCACCCTCTGTACAGGCTAATCAGAAAGTGCTGCCTTTTTCAGATGTATATTTTTCGTGAAATTTCCAGATTCATTTTTACACGTTTGCGTATCAAAATTTCAACATGAAATTTCACAAAAATTAGACATCTGAAAAAGGCAGCACTTTCTGATTAGCCTGTAAAGAGGGTGAGTATGCTTCTAAAGCAAAAAAACCCTACAAACTAAGCCTAAATGTGAAAATCAAAATTTGGCTCCGTCGACACGATTTTTGTACATGTGGATGTGTGGCCTATGTTTACGGAGGCAGTCCAGTAAATAGGCCACATTTATGGGGCTAGGTTAGGTTTTACCTGAGGGCAATAGCAGAATGCATATTCGTCCCTTCTGGGACTCATCAGCCGCTGGATTTAAAAGAATCTGTAGGTATGGGTCAGTGAGTTACTTACTGCCTTGAGGAAAATGTTCCGTCAAAATTTGTCTGATATGTGACACTTCACACTTACAACTTCATTTAGATGAGATTGGTTCCTCCAAGAGGATGTCAAAGGTATTGTCGTTCTCAGATAAGTGGGAGACCGGTTGGTATAGCCGGGTTGGGAACAATGAGTTGGATCTTTTACTTCAAGCTTTTTTCTCGGTGGGGAGAGCCTAGCTTGAGAGGTTGGTTATGAATTGTTCATTTTGGTGATGGGCTAATTCTTTCCGTTGGTTAGCAATTAGTGAATCTGTTGAAATTGTTTTTTTAAAGCCAATAAAATAGATGAGATTTTTTTTTACATGTAACGGCTGGGGCGAAGTGGGGATGGGGCGAAGTGGGGATGGGGCGAAGTGGGGATGGGGCGAAGTGGGAATGGGGCGAAGTGGGAATGGGGCGAAGTGGGGATGGGGCGATGTGGGAATGAGGCGAAGTGGGGATGGGGCGAAGTGGTTAGGGGCGAAGTGACATCGGGCGACGTGGAAATGGGGCGAAGTGTCCGACATTCGCTGGAGTTACCCAGCCCTGAGTTTTATCATTGGGTTGTGATAAAACTCAGGGCTGGGTAACTCCAGCTAACTTTGTGCACAATATTTCTAGTTTCATGTTGAGAATTTGGGATTTCGTTTCGTGTCTAAAAAGGGAGATTCTGAAAGATGAGTTTACGTTCGTGGGCCACAGTTGTTCTCGCAATTGGAGCTTGTTCAGAAGTACTTTACTTCTTGTACAAGACGAAAGTTCACCAGAGGTTGTGGAGCCATTTTGTTGCGTCGTCTGCTACCCGGAAATCGACCATTGAAACCGCACGATCTTTAGACGTATTTCATCAAGTCTTGTTCTTCCCAGACAAGGAGCGCGCCTGCCCTGACTTTTTCTTGTCGGAGAGAGGGTGTGGAAGGCCCAAGTGTCCCTTCTCCCACAAGGTGACAAACTTCAGCAGGATGGTCGGACACATACTGAAGGCCAAACAATCCCTAGACATTTGCATGTATACGATAACGAATAATGACTTGGCAGAGTTAGTCGTCAAACTGCACGAAAGAGGGCTTGTGGTGCGGATCATCACAGACGATGAAGCAATGAACATGTCTGGGACTTTCATTGGAAAATTTCGAAGAGCTGGTAGGTTCATTGATTAGTTAAAACAGGGAATGGAGTTTCAGTTTTGTCCAAATCTGGGCTAACTTTTTAATCTTTTTGACTTATCGGATATGAACTGAAAAAAATGTATGACTGTTATTCAACAAAAATGTCATCTCATCCCACTCTTATCACAAGTGTAAAACTATTGCAGTAAAGAAAGGAAATGTTGAGTTTCATTTATTAAGTTAATTTTTAAATGTTACTCATCAAGCCTTGGAATGGGATGCATACGTGGGAGGGTAAAGTGCACATTTGGCAAGTTGGCATAAACTTTTAAAAAAAGAAAAGAAAAAAAAATTTTTTTTCTCTGACAACTTTTGATTTATTTTGTGCAGGGATCCAAGTACGAAGGGATTACTCCAGCTACTTGATGCATCATAAGTTTGTTGTCATCGATGGGACGACGCTCATCAATGGTTCCTTCAACTGGACTTGCCATGCCGTCAACAGCAACAATGAGAATGTGCTGATTACAAATAACCCAGAGATTGTTGAGCCGTTCATTGCAGAGTATGAGAGGTTATGGGAGGTCTTTGACCCGGCTAAGCGACCTCCTTGACCCGACTAAGCGATCCCCTTGACCCAGCTAAGCGACCTCCTTGACTCTAAAAAGAGGACCGACAATGAGGCTGAAGCATCCACATAACATACAATATACTTAACTCCCATGTCATGCTATCTCCAGCTGAAGACCTTAATAAGTGGAATCTAGAATTAAGACAAGTCCCAACCTGAGCATATTTTGGAGTTTTGGTACCATAATGGATTTGCATTAACTTTGTGTAATGTTTGCTAGTATGACTAAGACAGTGGCTTTTCTCTCACAGTTACAGTCCAAATGTCTGAAGAAGTACTAGTAACTCAACATACTACAGTCAAGAATGGAGAAAAAAAACACCAATTGTGATTTTGCAAAGCTTTTATTCATCAATTTTCTTTGGCAAAAATAGAAAAATACATCACCGTCGATAAGCTTCTGATAAAATTTGTAGCAGTAAAGTTACACTTCACAGAAAAAAATGGCACTTTTTTAAATTGCCAACATTTTTAAGTGAAAAATAAATGTAATTCAAATAGATACAACACTGTAGTTTTGTATTGTACACAATCACGTTTGATAATAAGGGGTACATTTTTATTACATTTGGTATATATTTTTTTAAATTCAATGTGATTTTATAAAAACAAACCCAAATTTCAACACATGAAGTTTTACATCACTTTTTTAATCACCTATGATTGAAACTTAAAACAGATTTTAGTATTTGTCCACTTGCTGTTTAAATGTGTTTTGCTTGTGGCAGGTACATTGTTACAAGTTCATTATTAAACAATTTTAAGGAAAACATTACTGATATAACGATCTCTTTTTCTTTATTTCAGTCTCTGCTTGATGTAATTAATACTGAACCTTCACCTGTCCTTCATTAATCACACGCAATTCCACACCACCACCATTACTTTTTGTTTGTGAGTACTATCCATTTGGAGGCGAGTTTTTGTTTTTAACATTGAAATCATTTCAATTTTTAATGTACATAACATACAACATATTCAGATCATATAAGAAGGCTTTGTATAAAGGCCAAAAGCAAGGTAAAATAATACCAGCAATCCAGCATGCATCTATATTTACACACAATCATTCTGAGTTGACCTAGTACATTTTTAACTTGGTACATATGAAAAATCACATGGACGCTGTGTAACTACTATGCTTTCTGCAGTAAAAGTATACTCAAAAATGCTAGAGTGGCCTTCCCCACCCCCAGCCATGTTTAATCAAATGGACATTTCTCAACATTTGTTAGCCCCACTTTATTAGAGCTGATGTAAATGAGAAAACAAAATTCTCATATGAAAAAAATATTTCAATACGTCAGCTGCAGAATCACACCAGTTCACTTTGCTGGTGCTCCAAGCCTACAACAATTAAAGGAAACTTTTATTTTTGAAAACAATTGATGGCCTTTCTATCTGGATACAGTCAATTAACCAGTTCACACCGGGATTATTTTGACAAGAACAGAACGATGCGTGGGAATACTTTTCACTCTACCTGAAGCCAGGGGAGTTGTAGCCATCACCCTCAGGTAGCACGCCCATATTACTGGCCTCGCTCGTTGTGAGCGGGTCGCTGACCGATTTTTCTGGCCTCGCTCCCTGCATCTTTATCTGTCATCTTTTCTGAATACTGCAAAACATTTGCGTGTATACACGGCCTCTGGCGCGAACTGGTTAAGGAATGAACTGGAACCAATTTTTAATGGCTTTTTATACCACATAATTATGTACTTATAACAAAATTGACAGTGAGTCAATCACACGTCAAATCACAAGTCTGGTTGCAGGTAACAAGGGATGTAATTCAGAACACTTGGTCTCAATTTAGCTAACCTGGCTAAATCTTCTCATATCCTTCCCTGACTCTCCTGCTAGCA